TGTGTGTGTGTGTGTGTGTGTGTGTGGGTTCTTTCCCGTTTCTTTTTTCTGCTGCATTGCTGCTTTTAGAACTGTCACAGGTTCTTTGAGCAGCTCTGTGCTTAAAGTTTTAATTGCAAAGACATTATTTGCCCCACTTTGGTCCTTCAGCCTATTTTTCAGCGCTGGTGACTCTGCAACTCAAACTTTCCTATGGAGCGGTGGGTTTAGTCCGTTCTTCCCCTAAACTGTTGCAGACAGCACGTGATTTTTACATGTAGGACATATTATATAACAATGCTCAGAAACGTGTCTGAGCAATAACTTAAAGTCACAGTCATGGTTATTTAGAGCCGTTAGCAAGCACCGTCACCTGGAAGCAGCATCATGGACATGTGGAACAGCCGCTGTTTTGGTTCCTTTACTTCACCCCCGTGCGTGGAGAAGGCAGAAGTCATAACAGACTTTGTAGTGAAGTGAAACTGAGCGTTAAACCAGTCAAAACCAGCCACTTTTTCCACTTTATGTGTCTCACGTGTGCTTTATGAAATCTTAAATGTTTCTCTTTGCTCCTTCCTCCTCTGCTGTGTCCCCTGTTGTGTTCATGCCGCCTTTTCTGTGTCTCTGTCGTCTCTGCAGTGGTTGAACTACCACATTTGTTCTCTTGACAGTCAAAGGATCAAAATCCTACAGAAAACTACAAATGATAATTAGTGTACTTTTAGAATAATCAAACAAAATGGTAGCATTGTAAAAAGGATTTGAGGACGGAGACTGTATTACGCTGAAGGAGGGGTTCAGCCACTGAAACCCACTGCATGCATGACATCAAACGTAGAACATAAGGATTGGTACCTGTGTGAGTAATGCGGCGGTGCAGCCTCACCGTGGCTGTGATAGATGAGGTGATCGTGTTCGTGTGACAAAGCCGTTAGAGTGCCCACGTTTGCCTCAGAGATGATCCTGAAGACTGTTATCCTGAAGGTGCATGAAAAGTATGCCAGTGTGTGGGACAGGATTACATTTGCACTTAAATCCTCATTAGGCTGTTTTTGTCTTTGCCGCTGAGCCTTCGTGGGTTAAACTCTTGGCCACTTCACGATCTGCGGCTCTCTGTCTGTCTTACAGGCAGCTGAAGTGATCGGCGTGCAGACGCAAGGGTGAGGAAAACTCTCTTGTGAATGACTCAGCAGTCCTGTGATCATGTCCATGTGATGTTTAGCAGGGGTCATTTCATGCACAACATTGTGCACATGGTATAGTAGCAAGTGTATTTGTTGCATAGAGTAATGAGGGGGCTGTGGCGGTTTAATAGGATTAGCTAGTCTACTGACTTGAATCAGATGTTCACGTGGTCCAAGTTGGAAATCATGCAAATAATACTTGAAGGCCACAAAAGAACTTGGAGAAGTTTTATTGATCCATTTTCTTCCACTTCTCCAATTCAGGGTTGTGGTAGGAGTCTGCTCCAGCTGTGATACGCAGGCAGGTGGTCAGTCTGTCACAGATCAAACCACTGTCATGATCATATCCACAGCTACAGCCAGTTTAGAGTCACCAGTTAGTCTAACGTGATTGTTTTTGGACTGTGGGAGGAAGCCACAGTGCTGAGAGAGAACCCACACAGAAAGGCCACAGAGGATGGATTTGAACCCAAGACCTTCCTTTGTTGTGACCGTGCAACCCACAGTTCATCTGATCTCAAAGTATTTGTAAAGCAACGTGTCAATGTGTGGAAAATGCTCATACAGAAAAACAAAGAAAGCAAATTTGACAAATTTTCCTTCTCCTTTGGTTCAGCTGCTGTTTCCAGCTCATATGTGCATCGATTTATCGACGATATTCTCTTATTTGCAGGATAGTGTTGAATCCAACAGCAATGCACACCCCAGGGTCCGGCTTTCTCTTTAGTAGTTTATGAGTAACCCAAGTTTTTTTTGTGTGAGATTCACCTTTTGTTCTTAAATAATTGAACTGCAAGTTTATTTCCTTGATTATTTAAAGAACTCTTGATTAGAAAACTGTAAACGTGCAGTGCCTGTTAGCATTTTTCACATATGACTTATTTTACATCTAAATTTCACAAAACTCGAATCTATGATGGGCAGCCAATCAGAACAAGAGGACACAGAAGATGAACTGAGAGGCTGCTCCAAGCCCCTATATCAGATAAATGAGGATTATTCTGAACGCTGAAATCATGCAAAGCTACTTTAGTAGAATCCAAGAATAACAATATGAAATCGTTTCAATAGTTCCTGTTTAAACATAAATTGTGCAGCTAAAAATGGGAATTAATGTCATTGGGAGTATTGTTTAGCACAAGGTCACTAACTGGAAGTGTTTTCAACCTTGCAGCGTGTTGTGGAGCAAACAACCACACCCTGCAGGTAGCCTCATCCTTCCTCATTCTCATGCTTCCTCATAATTCTTACCTTTATTTACTGTTTAGCTGAATGGCTTCTTGAACACAATGTTTCTGAAGCGCATTCAATAACATACTTTTGTACCTATGACCTTAAATGAAGGTATTTTGCCTCCGCCTGCTGTTGGAGCTACATTGTGTACCCCACTTTTGCATATATATACTGATAGAGTACTAATACTGCAGTGCAGAGCCGAACGAATTCATCTGTTTGTCTCGTTTTTATATCATTGTGCAGTGCTGTGAAAGTTTCTCTAGGAAAATGGGGCGTTTTACTGAATTAATGCAAAATACAGTGGGGCAAAAAAGTATTTAGTCAGCCACCGATTGTGCAAGTTCCCCCACTTAAAATGATGACAGAGGTCAGTAATTTGCACCAGAGGTACACTTCAACTGTGAGAGACAGAATGTGAAAAAAAAAAATCCATGAATCCACATGGTAGGATTTGTAAAGAATTTATTCGGTAAATCAGGGTGGAAAATAAGTATTTGGTCACCTCAAACAAGGAAAATCTCTGGCTCTCACAGACCTGTAACGTCTTCTGTAAGAAGCTTTTCTGTCCCCCACTCGTTACCTGTATGAATGGCACCTGTTTGAACTCATCATCTGTATAAAAGACACCTGTCCACAGCCTCAAACAGTCAGACTCCAAACTCCGCCATGGCCAAGACCAAAGAGCTTTCGAAGGACACCAGGAAAAGTATTGTAGACCTGCACCAGACTGGGAAGAGTGAATCTACAATAGGCAAGCAGCTTGGTGTGAAAAAATCAACTGTGGGAGCAATCATCAGAAAATGGAAGACATACAAGACCACTGATAATCTCCCTCGATCTGGGGCTCCACGCAAGATCTCATCCCGTGGGGTCAAAATGATCATGAGAACGGTGAGCAAAGATCCCAGAACCACACGGGGGGACCTGGTGAATGACCTGCAGAGAGCTGGGACCAAAGTAACAAAGGTCACCATCAGTAACACACTACAACGGCAGGGAATCAAATCCCGCAGTGCCAGACGTGTTCCGCTGCTGAAGCCAGTGCATGTCCAGGCCCGTCTGAAGTTTGCCAGAGAGCACATGGATGATACAGCAGAGGATTGGGAGAATGTCATGTGGTCAGATGAAACCAAAGTAGAACTTTTTGGTATAAACTCAACTCGTCGTGTTTGGAGGAAGAAGAATACTGAGTTGCATCCCAAGAACACCATACCTACTGTGAAGCATGGGGGTGGAAACATCATGCTATGGGGCTGTTTTTCTGCCAAGGGGACAGGACGACTGATCCGTGTTAAGGACAGAATGAATGGGGCCATGTATCGTGAGATTTTGAGCCAAAACCTCCTTCCATCAGTGAGAACTTTGAAGATGAAACAGAGGCTGGGTCTTCCAACATGACAATGATCCAAAACACACCGCCCGGGCAACAAAGGAGTGGCTCCGTAAGAAGCATTTGAAAGTCCTGGAGTGGCCTAGCCAGTCTCCAGACCTCAACCCCATAGAAAATCTGTGGCGGGAGTTGAAAGTCCGTGTTGCTCGGCGACAGCCCCAAAACATCACTGCTCTCGAGAAGATCTGCATGGAGGAATGGGCCAAAATACCAGCTACTGTGTGTGCAAACCTGGTAAAGACCTATAGTAAACGTTTGACCTCTGTTATTGCCAACAAAGGTTATGTTACAAAGTATTGAGTTGTATTTTTGTTATTGACCAAATACTTATTTTCCACCCTGATTTACGAATAAATTCTTTACAAATCCTACCATGTGGATTCATGGATTTTTTTTTTCACATTCTGTCTCTCACAGTTGAAGTGTACCTCTGGTGCAAATTACTGACCTCTGTCATCATTTTAAGGTGGGGGAACTTGCACAATCGGTGGCTGACTAAATACTTTTTTGCCCCACTTGTACATGTGATTACAAGTAGAAGGCACAAGGCCTTGTTGCAATTCCAACCAGCTTGAGGGTGAATATTTGGTATGACCACCTTCATTCATCATGTTACCATGAACATTTGGAACTTAAGTAAAATAAATAGATCTGTTTTTATTTTCTTTTGTTTGAACATTTCCATATTTAAAACTATTCTTTGAGTTGATCGTGACTTTTTTCCTCTGCAGGTCAAACTGCTTCCTTCATCGTTCGGCCGTCCCGTGCGGTCTCCCTGCTCAGAGTAGTCAGTCCAAAGCACCAGGCTTCATGATGTCCAAATCCGCTCTCTTAAAGGTGATCCTTCTGGGGGACGGTGGCGTGGGCAAATCGTCACTCATGAACCGATACGTCACCAACAAGTTCGACTCGCACCTCTTCCACACCATAGGCGTGGAGTTCCTGAACAAAGAGCTGGAGGTGGACGGGCGCCGCGTCACCCTGCAGATCTGGGACACGGCGGGTCAGGAGCGTTTCCGCAGCCTCCGCACGCCGTTCTACCGCGGCTCCGACTGCTGCCTGCTCACCTTCAGCCTGGACGACGGACAGAGTTTCCAAAACCTGGCGAACTGGAAGAAGGAGTTTACTTACTATGCTGACATAAAGGACCCCGACAGCTTCCCCTTTGTGGTGCTGGGAAACAAACTGGATATCCCTGAGCGTCAGGTGTCTGGGGAGGACGCTCGAAAGTGGTGTCGCGAAAACGGCGGACACCCGTACTTTGAGACGAGCGCCAAGGATGCTACGAATGTAGCGTCGGCCTTTGAGGAGGCAGTGCGTCGCATTCAGATGACAGATGACAGAGATGGTCACCTCATCAGCACTGACACCAACACGGTGGACTTGCAGAGGAAGAGTCAGGCTCAGAACAGCTGCTGCTGAGCTCAGCCTTCAGTGTGTGACAGGAAGTGAGCGAGCAGGAGATCATGTGATACTCCTGCAGAGGGCACACAGGGAGTGTGTTTTCTGCAGAAAATGGGAACTGGCGGTGGCTCAGCAGCTCCACAACGCAGCCTGTGACGTCCTCGGCTGGAGTCTTGATGCAAATCAACAGTTTTGTGCAGTTATTCATGATTTCTACACATTATGATGTCGGTTACATTTAGTCCCTCACAGAAACAAATTGAATCATTAACATTTCTCATTTGGATGTTTCGATTTATAAATTGTGAATAACTCAAATGGGGTTTTCAATTTATTAAAAAAAACAAAGAAAACAAGCTAAATTGTGTCACGTCTAAACCACTAAACACAGGATTTCCACCAGTTGGTGTTTCAGACTCGCTGATGGTTTTTATGTCACTGATGGAGCTGCGTCTGGAAGCCACAGAAAGTCCTCTACGATTGTTTTTGCACACCGAAGCAGACACTGTGCTCAATATGAAGGAGTAAAACCTAAGCTACAAAATGGCTTTTACAGCAGTTTAATACTAATTATCCTTAAACAGACCTGCGAGTCAGATGCATACCTCTCAGAAAACAACCTAAATTTAAAGCTAGTAATGTTTTTGCTTCAGAAACACACGACACACCTTCTTTTCCATCTATATAAACACATAAATGGATGTAAACTAAATGATATTATTTTCTATTTTGGCAGCATAATAATGTCAAACCAGATATTTTCAAAATGTTGCTAGCTGGAGTTAATGTTTTGTGTTTATTAGTATTTATTCATCAGCTATTGTAATGCTTAAATTACTGTAATTACGGTTAAAGGAGTTTGTGTTTTTTAAACTGATAATAAAACAGAACCCAAAACTGGAGAAACACCTGGTATCTGTACGGTTCACTTGTTTTGCAGTACCATTGTGATCCACAAGGTGGTGCCCCTGTGTCAGAAAATGGTGAGATCGTTCCAGCGTCACACTATTCTTCCTGTATGTTAGCATTAGACCTCAGATGTGTTAGAAATTAGGCTGAATGTTAGGAGAGCTCTCCTTGGACTCTAAATAATATCCATTAAATAATAAAAAATGTTTTGCAGCAATTTTGTTGGAACATGAGTGAAAACACCCGTGTGGGCAGACTGAGTTTGTGTGGCGTCTTTCAGTTTCTTTATAGTCTGGAACCGTAGGTGTTCAGTAGTTCCACAGCTCAAATATTTAGAACCACATGCGTGCCTGAAAAAACATTATCATATCTGCTAATTTCCTTTGGCATTCTGAGAAAGAAACATCTACTTTTCTCTTCCCGTGACACAGACGGTGACAGCAGCATACAATTATCTCAGCTGGAATTACCTGTGATTTCAGAAATGACTTGTTCTTTTTGTCCTGCAAAGCTGCCAAGCTCATGAGTCATGTAGGATTTTTATACTCTGGAAACGACTTCAAAGATTCAACTAATCTAACGTTTTAATTTGATGTATGCATTTGCTAGAATAATAGACAAACAGGTGTTACTAATGCTATTTGGCACAGAGTCTTAATTAATGTAATTATTAACGCTTGTGTTTATCTACTATTTTAGATCAAAAAGGCTACAATGCAAATGATTGTTTTAATTAGAGCTAAAATGTTTAGTTAGATCACTACTGAAGCTTCTTCATGCCACTTGAAAAATAAATAAATAGATAAAATGTATTTATTTACCAGGCAGCCAAGTCAAAATTTCAGGTTACTGACTTAAAATTTTGAGATGATCTGATTATTTATCCATTGGAACGAGCTTCCATAGATAACTGCTTAGTCAGTGAACAGAAGATTAATTTCTATGCCAAGGCACGATCCAAAGAGGAAGTATTAAGTGTTCAATATGCTCATGTGTGCCCTTTTCCCTTCAACATTGCTTTTTATTTAGAGAAATGTTTGATATTTAAGCTGAAGTCTTGCATTTTGTTCCCATTACTGTACAAAAATGCACTCCAAGCACTATTCTGCTGTTTTGTTTTTTTCTTTACACATTTTTGATTCAAATCACCAGTTGGAGCCTTAAGAGAAGTCTCTTATCTATACTTTCACTTTAATTTTTTAAATAAGTGTCCATAAAAATCACAAGGAAGAGGCGGGAGGCAACGGTGTCACGATAATAAAAAATATCGGTTTTACTAGAGAAGGTTACAAAAATCATCACTATATAGGAGTCATAGAACTATTTCCAACTTAAAAAATAAAACCATAATGAAACACCTACAGGGACTACAATGCCATCAAAGTACAATGGAGTTTTCTTTAGAAAAGAGTGGGTGGAAGGGGAGGAAGGAAGGGGGCAAACACCGCCTACCATAGTTGTCATTACAATTGACTACACATCACCTGAAAAACTGCAAAGACACAGTCATGTCTCCTTCATGCAAATAACAAGGAAACAACAACACCCTGACACGCATCGTCTTATAGGAAATTGAAGTTTGCCTTTACATCGACCTGGCGGCAAAGCACGTATATTTATCAAACATAACACACATGGCAATATAGTCCTTTTTTATACAGAATAGACAGCTGCACACATGGACGATACTGACATGCTTCATCTCATCAAAGTTCAAAAAATTGTTTTCTTCAGTGTTTTTTGAGGGTGAACTAACCAGTAATGACTGATATAGAATATAGTTCATGATTATTAAACAATATCTGGTTATAAAATTAATGTCTGAAAATTCCTGACTTGTTTTATTCAGTGTAAACATCCAAAAACAGTCTCTGTGGCTCATTTGAGAGGCATGACGTATAAAAAAAAGGAAATAAAATAGGAGAAATGAAGAAAAGAGTGACTCCCCCCTCATGTCTCGAGTCACTCACTTGGTCGGCCGTCGAACAAAAATAAGCACAGACATGTTCCATAAAATAATTAGTACTAATTTACAAGAAGAACTCAGCTGCCTAAAACTGGTAAAACATTAAAAATCAATTTCCACTATATTTTTTTTGTCACATTTTAAAATGTATACGTCACAAGCACCTCAATCCATCATATCATGTGACTGCACTTTATCCCTCTCACGACATATCATTTAAGATGTTACATTACAATTATTATATCAAATGCAGAACTAGTATCTGAGTGCTAAACACATATCTCAAAGGGTACATTTACATATATTGGTGGGAAAAAAATTGCATGGCAAATCACTGATTGTGTTCTCATTGGTTTGGGAACGGAGCTATTTCATGTTTTTAGGGTCATTCGGCTATTTACAGGTGAACTTTCTCAAAATAAGGAAGTGAAAGAAGAAGTTTTTACTGTATAATTCACACAGGACTGCAGTCTGGAGAAGAGTTTAAATGGTGATGTTTTAGGAAAAGTACACAACTGGTGGAAAATCAGACTTGGTTTAATACCTGAGGTGTGTGTCTGTTTTTTAAGACCCGGACAGATTTATCTTTGATTTCTGCTGCGGCTGGTGGTGAGTGTAGCAAAACCCCATTTTGGTCTTCAAAAGAGCAGTTTCATATTCAGAAGTATGCTAATATGTTTTCTTGCCAAGAGCTAGATGAGTAGATCCATACCACCTTTGTCAGTAAATAAACATCAAGCACTAAAATGCGTAAGAAAGTACTAAAATGATGTACTTCTTTACTTGCACTTGCTGTTTTGAATGCATAAATGCATTAAGACTAAAAAGTATGGCTACAGGAAGTGTGTAAGGCTGAACTTCTCACTTTTAATAATGACCACCATCTTGTAGCGGAAAAATAACAGAAAAAGAGGAACCAGCAAACATTAGCCAAGAACTGGAAAAACAAGGCCCTTCAATTAATTATTAGCCCAAAAGTGGTAACGGAGGACCCATCAAACAATTTTTAGCTATGAACTGGAAAAGGAGGGCTTTACAAACAATGTTTCAGCCAGCAGGCCCTACCAATGCTAGGTAGCTAGCTAGCTAACAGCAGCAGATATCTTTCTTCAGCTGCTTGCATTAGTGTTTTTGTGTTTGTTTTTGGATTGATTTTTGCATTTTGTATTACTTAATCATCTTCATTGTAGAGTGAATTAGGTTAATATTTGGTCGGCGTCTCAACAAAAAGGAATGTTCACAAAATACATTAGCTAGCGCAACAATCGATCCAACGCTACAACTGTTGTTTCTGTAGGTGCATGACTTGCTGAAACAAATCAAAATTCATACACTACATGATTATGTACACTGTGTACTACACTGAAGTGAAACATCTTAAATCAGACACAATACCAGTCTTTGTGTTTCCAGTCTTTATGCTAACCGTAGCGCTATGATGAAGCTTTTTACAAATCATACAGACAGCTTTTAATCATTTCCTCTAATCCTTGACCTGAAAGCAAATGAGCGTATTCCTCGAAGCTTTTCCTTGCTTCAAAGGTTGCTACCTCTCCGGTCTTAAATAAACTGTGAGTGCCTTAATGAGTAAATAAACTCTTATCATGTAAATGCATAATAATCCTTGAGATACCACATGATTTGACATAATTTTAGGTATTTCTATGAGAGAAGGGATTGGAGTGGTTCATGTTTTTTAAGGGATTTTCATTGTCCCTTTTTTTTCTTTATTTAATAGTGCAACAACGAGCATTAGCAAAAGAAGTTAAAGATGGAAAGAAAAGTAAAGGAGAAAAACCTATGAGCGCAAAAACATAAAGAAGAAAAAAGATCATAATAGTATCTGGCATACTTTTCAGAGAGTATTAAAAAAAACAACAACATTCGTACACATTCGCACAATATATTCATATTCATATATATATGCATATAAAACACCAAAAAAACAGAGGAAGTTGATCACTGCCTGGCTTTTTATGGTCGATGCAGGCAGTGAACAATGTTTATCTTTTTTAGGCTGTTAGGAGCTGTGTGTCGAGAGGCTGTGTTGGCTCAGGGCGCGAGGCCATCACAGCCGGGCCACGTTCACGAGTCGCCGCCCAAAAGCACGAGGGAAGAGACGCTTCTGAACTGATGTACTGTACCTGAGCTCGACCCCGCGGGCGAGCTCTCCCATTCTGAAAGCATCCGCCTCCGTCTGGGCCTGCCACTTCTCCTGACTTTCTATTCTCTTCCCCTCAGGTGTGAGGACATGCCCACAACCCTTAATGAACACTGCGGAAGGGAAGAGGATGGAGAATCAGGAGGTTTTGGGACTATCAAACATGACCGAGGTGGTTTGTTTTAACGGAGGGAAAGGGTGGGTGTTAGTTGTTGCAAGGGGATGGGGGGTTGTGGTGTGGAGAGAAGACGGATGGTGGTGTTGGGCTCTCTTGTCCTTATGAGTAGGAGGACGAGTTCTGGCCCTCCTTGGAGCGTGCCTCAGCCTCCAGATCCTGGTCATCCTTGGTCTTGATGTCCTGGTAATCGTGCGTGGAGGCGGCGCTCTTCAGATAGGCCCAGTTGGCCCCCAAAATCATCAGGTAGTGGATCTGAAGAGATACAAGATTTTTTCTTCATGTTCAAGCACAGGAACTAACGCCATACTACTACTACTTCTATTATTACATGCATTCAAAATGTGCTCAAAAACCTCTGCGTGCATGTTTTTGGTATGTCCTGTTACATCCTGTTTTACATCTGTGTGCCAAATCCCCAAGTGTCTCATCCCACTCTACTGATTTGTGCCCACTGAAGTTTAGCGATGTCTAAATGTAGAAAACATCCAAATATATTAATAGAAACCAACCTGAGAACAATGAAAATGTTCCAGAGCAACATTACTGTACAAGCCAGTTTTCCTCAGTGACTTTTTTCTAGCATGTCTTTCCACCTTTTGTAACACATCAAAGTACACCGAGCT